TATCAATATATCCAAACTACATCTGGTTTGCATTCTCTTCTTTTTGTTTAGTCCTAGTCTCTGAATATTCCACAAGGCGTGTGTATTATTTGCACAATGCAAAAGCAAAATCTGGCTGCATAGACAGCCCAAGCCGCGGCTGGCCACACGCACACACGCGTCGCGAAAGCCCTTTCTGCTGCGTCCAGACGCATCACACGTCCGGCCGAGCCCTGCCTGCTCCCGACTCCCAGTGGTTCTGCTGAGTGGACAGACACGCGGCCCAGCTCCGCACCGTTTCCTTCCCGTCACCTCTTCCCCTCCCTCCGTCCTGGCGCTCGGACTGTGGACTCTATTTCCACATCACTTAAATTCCACAAACAAAAGGCAGTCGCAGTAACGGACATGTATGGAGTACTGACTATGTCCCAGGCACCGTGCACCTGCTTCCTTAACCCTCCTAGCGACCACGCTACAGCGGAAGAGCTACCGGATGGGCAACGCACCCACTCCAGGTCACATGACGGGCAAGTCTGTGAACCCGGGCCACCCAACGCAGCCCAAACCCTTCCCCACCATGCTGACCACCTCTCGCCATGTACGGAACGGCCACTGCACGGGGACCCGGGCCACGGGTCTAACGCGCCCACACAGAACCGGATGCCCACTGCCTGCCAGCCTGGGGTTGGTGTCTACCGTGCACCGAGCTGGGGCACTTCCTGAAGGCTTCACAGCAGAAAGCACATGTCATCGTCAGTGCTATAAGAGTAAAAATAACTACATAAAAGTGACGGTAAGGACAGCCAACGCACACCAGCGGCCTGTGCCCTCACTGCAGACGCACCAGTTCAGTTGACCCCCAGTCACCCTCAGGCGCTGCCAGGATCCCCATTTTACAGACCAAAAAACGGGCACCGAGGAAACACTGTACTTACCCAAGGCCACACAGTGAGGGAGAGGCAGAACTGAAATGTCAATCTAGAACTTTCCTGATTCCAAAGTATCCTGACAATTGAAATAAAGAAGGGATCACGTGAAGCTGGGCTGAGTCCGAGAGGGGCTGGCGTGGGGAAGGGGGATTCCTCACGGAGGGAGCTTCCCCAGACAAAGGCCCCAAGGCTGGGAGCGCTACAGCTCGGGCTGCAGGTGCGCAAAGAAGAGAGCTTGGAGCTATGGCGTAGGAGATGTGGGTGGGGACAAACCGATTAGAAAGCCAAGCAGACAGTCTGGGATTAATTCAAGGGGCAGAGGGGAGCCATAGAAGGTTAATGAGCAGAGGAGTGACTTGATTAGAGATGTGCCTTAGAAAGACTTACTCCAGCAATGGGGGACGGAATGGATACGAGACAAGGGAGACCAGGGGCTAAGAGACTGTTGTAATAAAGAGGAAGAGATGGGGACAGGATGGAGCTGTCTGGGTTTGTCCCTCTTCTGGAGGGAGTGCCCCACTCTTCCCTGAGGAAGCCACCCTCCCTCAGTCTGTCTCCTGGTTTTGGTGGGGCTGCCCCCTCCACAACCCAGGAGTGGGTGAGCCAGGCCGGGCCACCCAGAGTCCCAGTGATTGGTTCAGGCATGGGCACACGACCTCAGCCAGGACAGACAGTCCAGGGACCCCCGACATCATTGGCAAAGAGGCTCGCTGTGTCCCTCCACCAGGACGGCTCTGTCTGTTGGCTGAAGCTGGAGCAGTTGAGGACCATCCATGTTACCACTCAAGAAGAACCCTCCCCGTCGCCCCCAAGCAGGGACATAAAGGAGGAAGGCAGAGCTAGAAGGCTGCCTACGGTCTGGCAGCCTTCGCTGCAGCGAGGACCTCCCCTCTCCCACTGCCCCTGACAGATCTCTGACCATCCCAGCGAGCTGAGCTCCGGGCAAGAAGCGACAGCAGAGACAGTGACAGCAGCCGGCAAAGGAGGAAGGGAGGCAGGCGAGCCCGGTGTCGGCAAGAGCCCGTACAGGGCCCCGAGGGCTCCACGTCCTGCCAGCAGAAAGGCCAGGAAGATGAGGGCAGCGGAGCTTGTGGGGCAGCCCAGACACCCCAGGACCTCCAGAAGACAGCTCTAGGCAAGGAGAAGCCAGGCCTGGCGGCTGAGATGAGAGGAAGAGGCGGGATGGGCAGATTCCATTCTGGAGAGCACTGGGGGAGGAAGGGGAGAGGACAGTAGCCTGGTGGCAGGCAGGTGTTTCAGAGAGAGACAGTGCCTGAATGCCCAGGGGAGTCAGTGAGGAGAGGAACCCCCCAGGAAGGCCCCCAGTCTATGGCGGAAGAGACTGGGTGCTGTTTCTGGGCCTCCAAGTTGCTGCGCACCGTGAGAAGATGTTTGGAAACGGTAAGTCTGAGCCGGACTAGGAGCGTTTCTTCTCAGGCCTGTCAGGACACCTGGCGGGGAATCAGAGCCACGGAAGAGCCCCCTGCATCACAAGTGAGCAAAGGCGTAGCAGTCGTAACCTGCAAACAATCCCACTCACACCTGTGATCCCAGCACTCCGGGAGGCCAAGGCAGGAGGATGCTTGAGCTCAGGAGTTTGAGACCAGCCTGAGCAAGAGCGAGATCCTGTTTCTACTAAAAATGGAAAAATTAGCCCCGTGTGGTGGAATGCGCCGGTAGTCCCAGCTACTCGGGAGGCTGAGGCAGGAGGATGGCTTGAGCCCAGGAGTTGGAGGTTGCAGTGAGCTACAATGACAGCACTGCACTCTACCCAGGGTGACAGAGACAGAGACTCTGTCTCAAAAACTAAATAAATAAATAAACTACTTCCTTAGAGGCCAAGAGCACGAGCCACTGAGGCCAGCCTCCCTGGGTTCAAGCGCCAGTTCTGCGGATTCCTAGCTGTGTGATCTCAGGCAAGTTGCTTAACCTCTGTGGGCCTCAGTTTCCTCATCTGTAGAAGGGGAACGGTCTCAGTATCTGTCGCACAGGGCTGTTTGAGGGCAAAGTCAAGATAAGACATGTCACGCGCAGTGACTGGTATACGGCAAGTGCCGGGAAAGGTTACTAGTCAGTGTTCTGAGTCCGTTGCACTGGGTTACGAGGACACGGCAGCAGGAAGGAAGAAGCTTTTCCAAGAGCAACCGTAACTTGCCTGTGCGTTTGTCCCACAGATGGCTGGGGGAGCGAGCAGACTTCAGCCAGGCAGACAGAGCCTTCGGCTCCCACGGCCCATTCGTAAGGATCAACACGCAGCAGGGAAAGCGTTTTTAGCTCCCCTGGCAGACTCGCCACTCCCCACTCCCCAGGGTGGGGGTGGGGGCTCCGATCAGAAAACCACAAAGCCTGCTGGGGGAAGGAAGTGTTCCCGGACTGCACCAGAGTGGGCCGAGGCCCAAAGGCCAGGAGCATCTGTTAGGAATCTGATGACAGGATGCTCTCTTTCTAGCCGGTCACCTTCTCCTACTCGCTGGAGAACAATAGCTTCCACAATAGCTTCAGAGGGAACACGGTCCGATGGGGGAGGGGCAGCCATAGGGGACCAGCAGGAGGAAAGAAGCCCAGCTGGGGGAGGGCAGCTGGCCTGCAAAGCACAGCCTCAGGGCGGCGAGGCAGAGACTCCGCTGAGTCTCCTGGTCCCGCACTGATCTGATGGGGGAGAGTGCAGAGTCTGGCTCCGGCCACTTGCAAAAACATGCACCACACAGGCGGAAGAGGGAGGGTGGTTGAGAAACAGCTCCTGAGTCAGAGGCCTGGATTCAAATCCTGACCCCACCAACTCCCCACGTGGCTGTAGTACTTCATGCTTCTGATATTTTAAGCCAGCTATTTATTTATAAAAGTGATGAATGAATGTCTAGAGGCAGCTCTCAAGGAGATATTTTAGTTGGGAGTGCGCGTGTGTGCGTGTGTACAATCTCAGTACCACCCCGCCCATAGTAGACACTTCACAAATATCCTCTGAATTGCACTAAATGCAAAATGCAATTCGATTAAGGAAGCAGTTATGGAAAGAAACGCCCACATGACCCCTGGCATAATTTTGTACTTTGCATTTATTTCACAAACGATCGTGTGGCTTGTACAGACACCGTCCTGAGCATTTTACACACATTGACTCACTCAGCCTCACGACACCCCTATGAGATTACAGGTGAGGAAACCGAGGCCACACAGCCAGGAAGCAGCCGCTGGGGATTCAAACCCACACCATCTGGCTCAGGGTCCACGCCCTAACCTCCAGGCCTTTGTCTGAAAGTTTGCTCCCAAGCTACAGACCAGAGACTGAGAGGGAGTCACGTTCTCCAGTCTCCTTAAAGGGTCGCATCAGCAACCATGCTGAGCCTTCAGCCTGGCTGGGGAGTCTAGGGCTGTCCCTGCCACGTGTTCCTTCTTTTCATGGTTCTTACACCACAAGGAAATGCAGAAAGCACAGAAATCTCAAGTATACAATGTGATGATTTTTTACTTGTGCACACACCTGTGTCACTGGCTCCCATATCAAAAGATAGGACATTTCCAGCTCCCAGCAGCCTCTCATGTAGCCCCTCGGATCAGTGGCTATCTGCCCCCAAAGCTAACCACTACTCTGACTTTTCACACAATAGACCAGCTTTGGCTTTTCTAGAATTTCATGTAAATGGAATCATATGGTGTGTACCCTTTGGTATGTGTCTCTGTTCTTCAAATTTGAAAAGCACACATCCTCAGCACACACACAGACAATGACTGCGGGAGAAAGAAAGAAGGGTGCAGCTGACAGTTTCTTTCTCTCCCAAGCAGTCCCCAGCTTGGTTTTATTTTGGTGGCTCGCTGACCTATCCCAGGGGCAGGTGAGGAGGGCTGAACACTGGAGTCTGGAACTGCAGGAGTTGACCTTGGAAAACCGGTGAACCACAGCGGGGCAAAGGAGCTGTCCCGCCCGGAGAGCGTACGGTGGGAGGGAGGGGGCCGGGTGGGGAGGTCACCTCTGCTGCTTCGGACGTCCAAAGGGGACAGGGCTGGAGGAGGTTTGAAACCTCCCCAACGCCAGCGCCAGAGGCGCCCCGGTGGTCACCGGCCCCCAAACATCACGAACGCGCGGACTCCTACCTGTGCACTCCTGGATGAAGTGCTGGTACTCCGCTCCCTGCTCGCCGGGGACGATGGTGGGGCCGTCGTATTTAAAAGTCACCCTTTGGAGTGGAAGAAAAAACACACACGTGAGCGCCGGCCTGGACGGGTGCGGGGACAGCCTGGGACGGCCCGGCGCGCCCCGGCGGAGGGGCTCGGCGCCCTGGGCGGGGCGCGCACGGCAGAGGGGAGCTCCTCACCAGATGACGGCCGAGCTGTCGTCGCGCACCAGGTTGTACGCCGCGCGGCAAGCCTCCTTGTCGATCTTGGTGGCCATCGCCGCGGGGCGGCGGCGGGGACTCTGCCCGCGGCAGCCGGGCGCGCCCCGGGCGGGCTGCAGGGGCCGGAGCGCGGCGGGGACGCGCCGGGAAGGACGCGCGGGCTGGCGGCGGCGGCGACGGCGGCGACTCGGCGCCCGCGAGCTCCGAGCGCGGCTGCGCCTCCGACTGCGGACGGGGCGCGCTCCGGGACCTCGGGCCGCGGCCGTCCCGCCCCCCCCAGCCATTGGCCGCCCAGGCCGCGGCCCGCCTCGCCATTGGCCGCTGGGAGTCAGGGGCGGGGCTTCTCCACTCTCGGGCCACCAATCCCAGACCGGGAGGGTTGCGCAACTCTGCGGTGGGGGCTGGAGAGGGGCTTCTTCCTCCTCCCGCTCTGTCCTCCCTCCCTCTCCCTTCTCTGCCCTCCTGCTCCTCCTCCTTGATGCTCCCACTACCCCAACTCCTTCCCCCTTCCTACTCCCCAGCCCCTCTCTCCTTTCCCTTGTCCTCCTTCTTCCTCCCGCTCCTGTTTGTCCCTCCTCCTCTTCTCCCTCCCTGTCCTTGCTTCTCCTGCCCCCAACCCCTTCCCCCTCCTCCCTGTTCCCTTCTCCCAGGCTCTCTTCCTCCCTCCTCCTTCCCCCACTTTCCCTTTGCCTCCTCCTCCCTCTCCTTCCCTCCTCTTCCCTTCCCCCTCCTTGCATCTCCCTCCTCCCTACCCCTCCTCCCTCCCACTTCTCCCTCTCTCCTGCCCCTCATCCTCTCCACCCTGTCCCCCTGGCTGCAGGGCTGCAGAGCTCCACAGGGGACCTCCAAGTGCATGATGTAATGCCTCAAACCCAAGAAGACAGGCTGGCCACTGCCCCCACCCCAGAGTTTGGTTCCAAGGCTTGGGGGTGGGGGGGATTGGAAAGAAGGAAGCATTTCAGACCCGAGGGGTAGAGAGGGACTGCTTCCAAAATGCTAGTGGGTCACTGTTTACTTTGTATTCTAGTTATTTGTATTCACATCTTACCTCCCCCTTCGGGCTCCTCTGAGAGCAAGGGCTGACTCATTCTATCTTCCTCATTCCTTCACTGACTCATTCATTCATTCTCTCATCCACTCATTCCACAGAGAACAGTTACAGTGTTAAGGCAGGTACAAAGGCAGGACCCTGCAGAGCCGGCTCTTGAATTGCATCCAGCGCTTCCACTTTCCAACTGGGGGCCGTTGCGCAAGCCTCAAAACCTCTCTGAGATTACTTTCTTCTGATGGGAAAAATAATAGAACAGACATCACTGGTTTAAGTTTAATTGAAATGATACATGTAAACAAGCAGACGTTCGATAAAAGGTCATCGTTGTTGGTTAGTAAGTAATAAAAATGAATACTAAATAGAAGTCCAAAAGGTCAGGAACAATGTCCAATTAATATTAGAATTCCTGAGTGGACCCTGATGGCTCTCACGTGTAATCCCAGCAACTCAGGGAGGCTGAGGCCGTTTAAGATCAGGAGTTTGAGACCAACCTGGGCAACATAGCAAGACACTCTCTCTAAAAAAATCAAAAGAATTAGCCAAGCGTGTTGGCACAAGCCTGTAGCATCAGCTACTCAGGAAGCTGAGGCGGAAGAATCACTTGAGCCCAGGAGTTCAAGGCTGCAGTGAGCTATGATTGTGCCACCATATACTCCAGCCTGAGTGACAGAGCAAGACCCCATCTCTAACAAAAGAAAAGAAAAGAAAGTTAGAATTCTTAGCAAGCAAAAGGCAAAAGGATGACTGAATCGATCAATCGATGGGTGGTTGAATGGGTGGTAGGCGAACAGGACCACAGTTTCAGAAAAGCAGGAACAGATGTTGCTATAAATAAAAAGACAAAAACAAAGAAATTCCCATTCGAGGCAGGGCAAAGTGATTCCTACCTTACCCCTTGATAAAGGTAATGGGACAATTGGTTATCGGAAAGAAAAACAAAGATGAATCCATTCCTCACACCATTGATCAGGGAAAATTCCAAAAGGATCAAAGATTTAAACACAAAGAAAGGAAACCACAAAAGTGCCAAAAGAAAACATGGGCACTTCCTTTATAAAGCCTAGAATGGGAAAGGTCTTTCTAACCATAACTCAAAATCCAGAAGCCAAAAAAAGATGGGTACATTCAAATATATAAAAAATCTTCTTAAAAAAAAAAAAGTCTTCTTCTAGAGAACAAAAAAATACCACCTCATGCAAAGTGTGAAAATAAAAGACAAAGCAGTAAAAAGCATTTACAGCTCAAAGGATTAGTCTTGCTAACATGCAGAGAGGTCAACCTAAAAAGAAAAAGAAAAGAAAAATGGGCACAAGATATAACCAGAGAGATCAAATGGCTTTTAAACATGAAAAATTGCTCAACCTCAACCCCTAATAAAAGAAATGCAAATTAAAGCAAGAATGAAATATACCTTTAAAAAAATCTAGCAGTTCGACAAAAATCAAAGTTTGGCCAGCCTGTGAAGGCTGGTGATGGAGTCTATGAAGACCCAGGTCCTCTTACACGTTGCTGGTGGGGGGGTAAATTGACACAACCCCTGTGGTGGCCACTTGGCAACATCTAGCAGATTTGCAAATCTCTGTGCCCTTGACCAATCCAATTACCCTGCAGGATCAGAGGTGCCCAGCCCAGATGGACACTGGAATTACCAGGATGCTCTGACCCCACAAGACTCTGGTGTAATCCGTCTGAGATATGCCCTGGGTACTGGGATTTTTAAGCCCCCCTGGGTGAGTCTCAGGTCCAGTTAGAGCTGAAAGTCACTGCTCTAGATACGCTTGCATGTGTGCAAAACACATCCAGGATTATTCGCTGTATCTCCAATAGCAGAAGGTTGGGAATCACCTGAGCCCCATCAAGAGGGGCTGGATACATAGGTAGTGACACTGGTAAGCCATCGAGGACCACGCGGCTGTAACAGAAAGGACAGTCTCCATATGCTGACGTGGCAGGTTCTACAAGAGATTCCATGAATAAACGCAGCTAGGGACTCAACAGCGTGCTCACAATACTACCTTCACAATACTACCTTCGGGGAAAGTGTGGGGGATCAACAGATATGTGCATTTGTTTGTATGTGCATAGAAACCTCTGGTAGAGCATCCAGGAGAAAAGGAACGGTGGTTCTGTGGTGGGGCTGAGCAGACAGCCAGGCAGAAGGGGCTGGGGTGGAGGGAGATTGCACTATATACCTTTTTATTGTATTTCATTTTATTTTTGAACCATGTGAATGCATTATTTATTCAGAATACTCAAATACCACCGAAACAAAAAGTGGCTCCCATACTGAATTTGACCGCACGTCCCCAAGGTTCAGCATTACTGGAGGAACAGTACTAATGTGCTGAGAATTTGGAACCCTGCCTTCCTTCCGCCTTTGATGGTGCTCTGTCTGTTCATTGTTGCGGTCGCCCTCTACTGGACCGAAGACGTAAAGGATTAGTTTTTAAAAGAATCCAATTTTGAGCACCCGGCTGCCCATTTCCGTAGATACGGCAGAAAAAAAAAACTGCATACCACAAACAAATATTGTATGTAAGTTTCTGTTTAAATTGAGACCCACACAATATAAAAATCCATCTAATTCAACTCATTCCTCTTTAAGAGAAATCAAAATATTTGATACTTAGTATGTGCTCTGTACTCTGTTGAGAATTAAGGGAATGGGCCGGGCACTGTGGTTCACACCTATAATCCCAGCACTTTGGGAGGCCGAGGTAGGAGCATCACTTTGAGGCCAGGAGTTTCAGACCAGCCTGGGCACCACAGCGAGACCCTGTCTCTACAAAAAAATTTAAAAATTAGTTGGGCATGGTGGCAGGCACCTGTAGTCCCAGCTACTTAGGAAGCTAAGGCAGGAGGATCCCTTGAACCCAGGAGTTCGAGGCTGCAGTGAGCTATGATCCCACCACTGCACTCCAACACAGGTAGGTGACAGAGTGAGATCCTGTCTCAAAAAAAACAAAAACAAAATCAAAAAGGCCAGGCTCAGTGGCTCATGCCTGTAATCCTAGCACTCTGGGAAGCCAAGGTGGGAGGATCGCTTAAGGCCAGGAGTTCGAGACCAGCATGAGCAAGAACGAGACCCCATCTCTACTAAAAATAGAAAAAACTAGCCGGGCGTGTTGGTGCACACCTGTACACACCTACCCAGCAGGCTGAGGCAAGAGGATCGCTTGAGCCCAGGAGTTTGAGGTGCTGTGAGCTAAGCCAATGCCACAGCACTCTAGCCCAGGAGACAGAGCGAGATTCTGTCTTAAGAAGAAAAAAGAATTGGAGGAGTGGTACAAATGTACTCATTCATTGATTCGTTTATCCACTCCTGGCACTGGGCCAACAATCCAAGGGGGCCATGATCTCACTTGCCTGTAGGGGGCAGGCATGTAACACACATGAGCCGAGCACACAGCCTGTAGGAAACATTTTTCTAGAAAAGGTGATCCTCTCTGTTCTGCCTTCCTCTGGGTGTCAGTTTCATCTTCAGAACAACTTCCCCTGGTTCTCAGCTCCACCCTGGCTGCTGTGCACGATGGTTCCAGTTACACTAAGCAAAACGTGTATCTCTTTGAGAAATCTCTTATTCTTAAACTTTGACAACAAAAATGTGACATTTAAGTGCTA